ACACTATATTTGCCGTCTGACATGAGCCAAACAGTGCGCTGCAAATTCAGATGACTCAAAATAAACAGCATATTTCGAACGGGCCGGTCGCTGCCTTTCAAGTCACAGTGCATCCGCTATAACAGAACGGCAATGCGTCTGTCTGTGATCTGCGCCGCTGTTTTAAAAGCAAAATAAACCGAGCTGCGAACAGCTGGCTGCCTCGAGGGGCGGCGTCTCGCCACCTGAGCAGTCACTGCTCGCGCGAAACAGCTGCCAGCCGACGGCGAGACGGCGCGGTACGGACGAGAGGGGCGCCGAGAAAACGGTGGGCCGATCGGGTACCCGTCAATGCGACCGAGACGAGACCGGGACCAGACCGGGACCAGACCGGGACCAGACCGGGACCGGATGGGACCGGCGCGGGACGGACGGGTCCGAGGACAGTAGCAGATGATCAGCTGACTGCCAGTGGCGGACGGCGGGCGGAAAGCGAATCTATAACGAGCCAAGAAAGGACCGAGAGCGGACGGACAGTGGTTCGAGCCCGGCCGACGACTCCCTTTCCAGATCCGATGACGACTAACGAGGTCACAATTAACGGGCCCCGTCGAGAGGCCGCCGTCCAGCAGCAGACCACGCCAGCGCAGCCCGCGGGTGTGGAACTCTGGGCCGTTAGTAGACAGTCTTTGTGGCAGCCGCGACGGCGGGACTCCCTCCCACCGGCGGCGGCGCGGCTTTTGCTAAATATTGCGATATGAATAAATCAGAAGGGCGGGGTGGCATTCGTCTTTGTTGCTGCTGGGTAGCGGCGGTGGCTGAGGAGGCGGCGGGGGCGGCGGCGGGGCGGATCACTAGCCACTGTTCAAAGCAGCGGCGGCGGCGGTGCTTGGCGGCGTCTGTCGGTCGGACCTGCCCCGGGGGCATCATGAACGAGCCGTGCACATTGATCGTCATTTGACACCGGCTGTGCACGTGACGGGCCGGCGGTGACAGGCGGCCGCCGCCCGGCAACCCAGCGCCGTAAAATGCTTTACGAGCCGGCTCGCCACGAATATGGAAAGTCGCCGCCGCGATGCGTAACAAATATGCAGCGACGCGGCGCGGGTGGCGTCGCGGGCGGCGCGGGACCGCTCCCCGCTGGGCGGCGGCGGCGGGGCGGCGGTGGGACAGTGGGACGGGGGCGCGGTGGAGCGGTGGAGAGGCGGCGCGGCGGGACGGTGGGGCTGCGGCAGCGCGGTAGGGCGGCAGGGCGGCAGGGCGGTGGGGCGGTGGGGCGGTGGGGCGGTGGGGCGGTGGGGCGGTGGGGCGGTGGGGCGGTGGGGCGGTGGGGAGGCGGAGCAGGGCGGCGGTGGGACAGTGGGACGGCAGCGCGGTGGGGCGGCGGTGCGGCGGGATGGTGGGGCTGCGGCGGGGCGGTGGGGCGGCGGGGCGGTGGGGCGGTGGGGCGGCGCGGTGGGGCCGCGGGGCGGTGGCCGCCGCCGACAGGCCGGGGCGGTGTAGCCAGCCGTGCCGGCAGGCCAGCCGGTCGGCCGGCCAGCGGTGATGTACGATGCTGCCAGTAATACCATATAATTTGGTGTCGGCCGTCGCGCCGGCTCGCCGCTGCCGATTCGCAGTCGGTCCGCCGAGTGACCGGACCGCACAGCGCGCTCCGACGGTCCCCGCTCCGGTGCGGTCCGTCCCCGCGGCCGTTCTTTGTGCGAGCGACAAGAAAAGGCCATCCCATCTCGTGCTGGGCAGCGGCTCCGATGCTCCGGCGACTGCTCAGCCTATAAAACGATGATTTATGGCCGAATTTCCGACTAAAATTGGGTGACAAAAACATGCAGAGAGCCGACCGCACTAAATCACGGTGTCCATTTCTTGCAATTCGCACCGGAACAAGACAATTCACACCCCGCTGCGCGCAGCCAGGAGGTAAAAACGCCGCCCAATATAGCCTCCAATAGCGGGCCGTCCCCCGGCCGAGTCGGGAAACGTGCTGCGGTACATCACGACCTTTCATTCCCGTCACTGAATCAAATTGGACGTAAGAAATGGACTCGGACTCTCGTGTTAGCATGGCTCTTAAGGTATGATCTAGGCCCTGTGAGCGTTAATGTTTTAACTTAATTTTACCCGTCGGGGATCTGGCCAACTCATTTCTGAAATAGCGCTGTCTGCGCAGGCTCACCATTTAGAAATCACTTAGGGAAATTTATACCCAACTGCCGCACCGTATCTCTGTATCAATTAGATGACACTCAGCATCTAATGGCTGACGGCTTCTGAAGTGAGGGAGGGCACAAAACTAAACTCGCTTTATCGCGCTGTTTCGGCGCGGACGGGGTGAGACCCGTCCGCGCCGTTCAAAGACCGGCAGGGTGGCCGGCCTGGCTGGCCAGTGGCCGCGGGCGCCACTGCTAGCCACTGCGGGGCAATTTGTCGCGATACTACCGCGCGTGCAGTTACGACAGGCTGGCTCTTTCTCATTGGGGAGGCTATATTTCATATGCCCGAGCGCTAATGGAAACTAAAACTAAGTAATAACAATGAAAAATCGCCTTCCGCCCTGGCACTGCCCTGGCGAAGCCGTTTCAGATGTCACTTTGGAAATCACCATGTAATGAATAGACATTTTATCACCGCTTTATTGTCGTTTGGAGATATATTGATCAGCATTGAAACAATGTGCCAGACCTGATAAAAGTAGCAGATTGAGCACAAGTGAAGGCTCAGCAGATTTTGTCTGGCGTTCGGGTAGGTCGTAACTGGAGGCCAGTTATGTACGCTGGAAGAAGTTACGCGCGTAAAATGACCTCTTAGCGGTCGGATGAAGCCGTACGATTGAGCCATCAACTAAATCGGTTCCGTCATCACCTAACCGCACTAACCAAACAGCTAAAACATCCCTAAACGCCATTGTCGGCATCGCTGCCATCCGGTGGCCGCTGCCATCACTTCTGCGGCAGCACCGGGAGATTAATTCCCAGCCCGTAACGGCCATCCTACCAATAAAACTCGTGTTTGGGTAAACTTTTACGGCCCACTTGTGTCAATACTAATGAATATAGAGCGTGTAACTGCCGAGGAAGCGGAGCCATTGGCCGGCGCTCGGAGCTCGCCGGCCGCTCGAGGCTCGTCCGGAGAAAGGTGCGCCGCGATTGGGACGGCGCGTAATAAAGCGATCCAGCGCGCGCCGCCGGCTGGCCAACCGCCGTCACGCACTCTCGGCGGCCACGCAACAACGCTGCGTTAATGGACGAGAGAGGCCCGTCGGGCGCGCGCTAACGGTGCGGCGGTGCCCATTACGGGATCTCGAGCGGCACGTTAGGGTCACACCGAGTCATGACGAGCTGTGACGAGTCATTACGACGAGTCTGTATGAGTCGTGCGAGTCGCGTCGGGCGGCCGGGCGGTTGGGTCGCAGCTGGTGCGCGACAGAAATTCGAGCCGGCCGGCCGGCGGCGGGCGTGGTCGGAACGCAGCCGGGACAGTCGGACTGGCCGTCGTAATTGCGACTTGTTTGCTTTTCGGGTGTATTGATCAGGGCGCCGTCGGGACACGCCGGGGGAGACGGTTTTTGGAGACGGGCCCAGTGCAGCCAGCCGAGATCAATGAGGCCGGCTGGGCGCTGATGAGACAACACAGGGAGTGGCGGACTGAGACAGAGAGGGACAAACAGACATACAAAGGGGCAGGCATGCAGACAGACACAGACAGACAGACAGACAGACAGACAGACAGACAGATAGACGGACAGACAGAGGCGGAAGGATGGGGAGACGGACTGACTATACCAACACAGATGGATTGAACACCAGGCTAGAGACTGAGAAGTTGGTAGGAAACCCACAGATCCCGTTATTCAAACGGTATTAATGGGAAGCAGACGTGCCGAACCATCATCCAAACCACTCAGCCGCCTGACCTGACCTCCGACCCGGCACACGACCGGTCCCGTCAGTCCCATCATCCCCGTCAGTCCCATCATGCCCGCCTTTCCCATCAGCCCCGCTGGCCCGTCAGTCCCATCAGCCCCATCAGCCCCGCTGGCCCATCAGCCCCGCTGGCCCGTCAGTCCCATCAGCCCCGGCAGCCCTGCAGTCGGCCGGCAGTGATAAGCCGCGGGCGAGACTCGGCGGCGACCGGGCCAGCTCGCGGCCAGCCCGCATATTTCAGTCTAACGATGTCGCTGAACATTTTTGCGTCAGCGTGGTGACGCGCCGAGGCAGCCAGAGTTACGGACGACCGGCGACCGGAATATTAGACACGGCGCAGGCCCAAATCAATTGTGTTTCCCTGCGCCACTATTGTAAAAAGCCTCTTCGACGCAAACACTTGCCGGAGCGGCTTAAGCGCCACGCGCTCTGAGTGTATTTCCACGGGCGATAAATTTGACTTCGCCGCCCAACTAAATTATGGCGAAAAGCTGGAGCAGAAACCCTGCCTGAAAAATTAAACTGTCAATGTGTCTCCATAAATAACGCTACATCCAATGAGAGACTTATGAAAACTATGCTTAACATGAGAATGGAATGGGTGTTGTCAGACGCAGTACCCGGCTATCGTTTAAGGTTATTGAAAGCACTTGAGCGTCTGAGCAGCACACGCATCGCAAATTTTCACTAGCCACCCTAACTGGCAGAAACAATATTCTAATGAGTCTCTGCTTCGTCTCCCGGTCTCACAGCCCTGATTAAGTCTGAATTCGATCCAATTTACTCTATAAAAATCTGACGAGCCGCGGCGATTAGAGAGGCCATTTAGGGGTTTGCCGAGCCGTTTTAGCATTGTCCGTGCGTTCCGGCGCCCGAAAGCAGGGGGTCCGCTGACAAAGCGCGGGCAGCCCGGGCGGGGGAGACCGCCGGCGGCACGAAATTTACGGCCGAAAACAGGTCCGCCCGCGTCAATGGTGCGGAAAGACGGCGACACAAAAGGAACATGAGTTTAAAGGAATGCGCCGGGCGGCGTGCTGCTGCGGGCTGCGGGCGGCGCCCGGCGGCCGGCGCGCGGGGCCGTCCCAGCCGAAAACTCACCTGCTATCGCCATCCAGGGGTAGATGGGTGTGGTGGCATACTGGCTGGGCTGCTGCACCAGCTGCGAGCCCTGCTGACCGGTGTTCTGGTTGCAGGCGACCAGCCAGTTGGAGGCGGCCGCCTGTCGGTCGCGGCTCGGGTCCACGCCGGCCCCCGGGAGACCCGGGAACCGGCCGGCGCCGGCTACGGCCGCGGCCGAGGCCGACCAGCTCGGCAGGTCCTTGGAGCTGTAGCCGTTCTGCTCCTTGGAGCAGTCGACTTTGTACGCGTTGGCCGACACATCGTTGGTGGGGTAGAGTTTGCACGCACTGGCCGCGTCGTTGAAGGGCGACTCCTGGCTGCGCGTCTGCTGGTAGTTCGGGAAGCCGAGGAACCCGGGCGGATAGCCCTGGTCACCAGAGCTCCTCTGGTAGAATCCACTCTGTTCGAAATACGGACGGAGCGCAACGTTATTGTCACCCATGTCACACACTGCACGCGGCACACTGAATGAGCTCCGCACCAGTCCGCCAGCCGCGAGCCCCGTGTCAGTCGGCCAACGCGCGCTCACCAACCACTAACCGCTCCCACTAACTTACGATCAGCACTACTCGACGAGTATACTTTTCACTACGATGTGCTGGATAAAATTTTACTGCTAGAGAAGTCCCACAGTAAACAATCCAAGGCCAACCCGGAAGGCATATTTTCAGCCAATCAGAAGCCAGAGCGTCACTGGCCGACGAACGCCCCAGCTGCGTGCGCACGAAACTATAGTCCCTCTACGTCACGGGGCCTCCCATGGTGAGGGGAGCTGAGCGAGGTGACCCGCAGCGCACTCTATCGGCGGAGAGCAGAGATTACGCTTTGAGCGACTGCCGCACAGACAGGAGTGGCAGCAGCGGACACGTTCACTTGATAGAGCTGCCACATTTCCAGACGAACCCGAAACAGGGTTCCGTGCGTATGTTTGTCACATGCAGTCATATGTGTTTTTGCGATACAAAATCGTGTTCATAAAATTTTGGAAGAATTTGAACAAAGTTGGCATAGCTCTCCAGACGTAACTACCTACTTTTATTTTCATCTTTAACCCGCGCCCCGCTGGGGGGGGGGCAGAATCTGCCCCCCCTCCCGTTTTTCGCCAATAACTTCTAAACGCGTTACGTCAGCGACGTCAAACTTTCAGTACCTTATCATACATCAATTTGACACGTTCCCTGAAAATTTGAGCGAAATCCGTCGGAAAATTTTTGAGAAATTGACGTTTTAGTGACGTCATGTTCGCCATTTTCGCCTCAAAAACGGCAAAATTTCAAACGCCGCTAACATCCTCATTTTTAAAGGAATCAAGACGTAACAAAAAAGGTTATACGTGATTCTACTTTGTCTATCAAATGGCTATCTCGGTTTTTTGAAAATTTTGGATTTTAGCCAAAATTTTTCCAAAAAACTGACTTTTTTGGGAAAATATTTATAAAATCCAAAATTTTGAGTTTATCGAAAAAACCGGAATATATGTCAAAGAAGTGGTCTATGTGCACCTACATACCAATTTTTAGAAGAATCGGTTCAAAAATGTGGGAGTTATTCAAAATTTTATGACGTCACGACAAACAATTTTTTTTGAAAAATGATTTTTTTTGGAAGTTCTAGACCTCGTACGGAAACAAAAATAGCACCATTCGATTCGCCGTGAAAAACTGCATCGGATAGACACCTTTTTAGGCCTTAACAACCAACTTCAAAATTTGACCTCACTTGACCTGATCTTGACCTGAGATCGACCTGAAATTCATCCAGAGGTGGTCCATATCACTTATTGAGTGTGCCTATTGAATTCCATGAGTAAAATGACCCATAAAACATGTGTCGCACATGCCCTTTTCTATATTTTGTTTTTGGTGACCTGACCTGACCTGACCTGACCTTGACCTTGACCTTTGAATGACATTGTGTGCAACGAGTATTGTCTTGGTAGTCTAAGAACACGTTTTGGGCAATCAGTCTCAGTCCATTCTTCGGCAACTACGGTGCAAGGCCGATACTGTAGAAACTTGCATTTTGTACCCTTGACCTGACCTTGACCTGACCTCTGACCTACTTAAGCAAAAAAAAATTGGGCTCTTAAGATCCGCCTTGTTGAGAGCTTTCGATTGCCGTTTTCCCCGTCTTTCTACGACCATCGGTTCGGAAGTTAGACAGGGGGGGCAGAATCTGCCCCCCCCCAGCAGGGCGCGTATGGCTGAATAGCCCAGCGGGGCGCGGGTTAACGGGCGTTCCCAGCCGGCTTGAAATAGCCAAATGGGGAAGGGGCAATCGTCAACGTTGATGATTGGCCATCTGGAGCTTGTCATTTTGCATACATTTACTCGTACTCTAAAATTGTTATGATGGGAAGGGGCTAAAAGAGGTAGTGGCCGAAGTGTCATCCTGCCGCCGCCAGTGTTATCAAACAGCGTATAACCTGACCTTAATCAGAGCCACGCCTTCCAATAGTTGTACCAAGAGCCCATGAATGAAAGATGATGATATATCATTAATCAAGCACAACCAAGCTAGAAGGCAACAATTCTCAAATATATATCATGGGAGACACATGTTTTAAAAGAAACTATTCATGAGGTGAGGCCAGATTAAATCAAATGGAGCTTGGGAAAGTGGCAGCTCTATGCATGGACTTATGTCACATCACACATGTACCTACGAAAGGATGTCGATGGCCGGATAAATAAACAGCTTTGGATCAATATCATCAACTACAGCATTTGAAACCAAAGACTACCAATGAACAGTTTTTTTTTCATTCTAAATTTTGCTGTACCTAACCTAAACCTGCAGTACCTAAAGGCGGGCTCTTTCAGGCACAGCCACAGACCTAATTAAATATATCATGAGCTTCGGTACCTGTGTCTTTATTATCTACCTACCTGCTACCAAGCAACCCAATGAAAGGTCCTATCGTGTAGCAGATTGTGTCACATGCGACTTTGTTTTGTTTCTGGACTAGCGCTGAAAACAAAACATTTCACTGTTCCCCATGTTTCATTTGATGACCATAATTGGAAGATATTTCTATTTAACTTATGGCAAAATATAAATATGTATGTGGTTGTTGAATTCATGTAAAAAACTATTTAAACACAGCCTTAACATTATTGGACTGCTATTGCTGAGAAGTATTGGTAAATATGGGTATAGGTACCTGATTGTATCGATTGTAAGACAAAACATATTGTTCAAATGATTGTGATAGAGCTGGCAGGCACTTCTTTAACAAGATAAATGCGACCATAATGTGAATAATTAGACAGGTATTGAAAGGCATGCTGCGTCAGGAAATGGTGCGGAAAAAAATCGGGCATACTCGTAGGTGTGACTGCACCAACCAAACAATTTCTCGACACTACACACATGGATAAAAACTTTGCTTATGATGTGCTGCGGCACCCACATGAACAAATTTCTTCATTGAAATAGTGTGATGGCGACAGTTCAGTTCCGAAGCCGTAAATCAGCCGGTATACTGCGCCGCCGAACCGCAGTGTGATGCGGCACAGTCTATCCCGCATTACGCAGGGGCATCCTCCAGCCATAAACTACCGGGCTGGCGACGAACGGAGACGCCGACGCGCGCAGTAGGCCATAAATCAGTGGTAGACTGTGCCGCGACACTGATCAGTAGTGCGGAACAGCCTACCGATTCAGGCGTTTGATGCGGTTAGCCATAAATCAAGGAGGCAGTGGAAATTGGAGACTGCATCAGGTGTTATAGCCCACTTAGTCAATGAAAGAAGTGTGAATGAGGAAAGCGGGTTCCTGGGGATAAAGCGCATGTATGAATATAGAGTGTTTTTGGAGTATTACCGTAGTTTCGTGCAACTTTGACCACCAAGGGCAGCTTTGGTCCACGCCTGGAAAAATTATTTGTTTTGCTGTAGCTTTTGACACTTACCCAGTGCAGAAAAGTTGTTATTATGGTTCGGTAAGACTGTTCACCGGTTACCTTTGGGAACAATCCTCAGTTAGTCCTAAGGCCAAGCTGAAGGGCTAGGACAGGTTAAAACAACCCATGAAAAAATCAACGGAAAATTAGGGTTGGCTAGGATCCAGTGAGGACAGTAAACGGGTGCGCAAGTAGTGAACTTGTGGTTTCCAACTTGTGGCGGTTATGGTAAGCTCAGAAAACACAAAAATTCAGAATGGTTACTCCTTTCTTTAAAATAATAAAATAGGTGGACAGCGTGTTTCGTTTTAGCAACCAAAGGAAGGCGCTGCCCGAAGTATTATTACGGAGCGAGCGAAGCGAGCGGAGTCTTACGTAGAATAACGGAAATTTCTGAGTATGAGCGGCCGGCCAGCCGGCCGGCCGGCCGTGCGGACGCTTTTGCGAGGCTTATATCTCAGCAACCACTTGACCGATTTACATGCGGTAAATTTTGTAGGGTAGCTTCATTCCTTCTACCAAGTATTGGACTATTCCCGATGCTTGTGGGTGACCCCTTATGCACGTGCCACGTGCAAAACGAAGAGGTGTCAGTTTTGCAATTGTTGCGATATCTCGGTAACTACTTGGCCGATTGCGCTGAAAGTTGGCATGTAGGTAAGCACTAGGCACCCACTAGGCACTGCATATCCATGTGCCGGAGTTGGGGTGCTGCTGCACGTGCGCACGTGCAGGGGTCGTTTCCAGATCTCGAGAACGGCTGGACCGATGGCGCTCAAATTTGGTACACAGTTAGGGACCAGTTAGTAGGGTGCCGTGCACAAGTCAGTTGGGACCCATTTTGCACGTGCGCACGTGCAGGGTGCCGCTTCCAGATCTCGAGAACGGCTGGGCCGATTGTGCTCAAATTTGGCACATCGCTAGAGACCGGTTGGTAAGGTGCCGTGCACAAGTCAGTTGGAGGTAACCCCTCGAAATTTCGCACGTGCAAGGCCCACCCTCTCGCTCGCTCCGTTAGTCGCCCCAAAAGGCGTTATACTGGTCCGTATGGCGCCTTCCTTTGGTTGCAAAACGAAATACGCCCCGTTTCGAGGTCTGTGCCTTTCGGGTCCCGAGGTGAGAAGCGGTACTGGCATAGGTACTGACAGCACTGAGTACCGAGTGGCAGGTACTGATGGCAGTGCGTTTTTAGGGGTTTTTGCTTGTTGTGTACAGATCAAGGTAGTGTTGGAAACTTGGCCTTGTGGTTTAAATACACGCTGTCTTTTGGGTGATTTATGTTTTTTGAAAACTCGCTAAGTTAGCTAATGTTGTCATAGGCTTGGCAAAAGTGAGAAAAACAGCGGAAACCATAAGTTTTTAAATGAATGTTTTTGCTGGGCCAAAGTTGCCATTACCAAACAACATTGGCCACTTGCATTTTCAAAAAAGAAAAGAAAATATGTATGCAGTGTTGCAGCACACACGTATTTGTCATATTCGAAAAGCCAAGGGTC